GCGGCCGTGCCCCACCGCCTCTCCCTTCTGCCTCCCAGAGCTGCTGGAGGACCTGTCCGAGAGCCGGGAGTGCGTCAACTGCGGCTCCATCCAGACCCCGCTGTGGAGGAGAGATGGCACCGGCAACTACCTGTGCAACGCCTGCGGGCTCTACACCAAAATGAACGGCCTCAGCCGACCCCTCATCAAGCCCCAAAAGAGAGTGGTGAGTGGGGAGGGAGGGGAGGAGGTGGGCGAGAGGAGCTGGGCCCCAAGGCACCCCCAGTGAGCGCTAGCCAGGGAGAAACGGGGGGCAAGGATGTGGGAGAGCAATCAGAGTGTATTATTCTGGTGGTCTGCCCAGCTTCAAAACCGAGTGGGGCTCCTGACCAGTTTTGCAGGCCAAAGTGGTCAACGATGAGGAGCAAAAGGGCTGGCAGCCCTCTGGGAACTGCTTCGGACCCACCTTCAGGCCTTGCGCTGGCGAAATCGCCCTCTGCATCCCCAGTGAGCTGCAGACGGGGCATGAGCTAGTCTGGCTTTTTGAGCTATGAACCCCATCAGTGAGGGGGGCTTCAGTGACGTGGAAGAAATTTGTGCTGGTGATGTTGGGCATTTCCAAAAGAAAAAAAATCAAGGTTGGAAAGTGTTTGTTCAGAGGGCTAGGAATTTCTCCAGACCTGCTTTGTTTGCTGACAGCTCGATCCTTGGGAATGTAAGCAAGTTTTGTATATAATTCAAAGAAAACCAATTGTTTAAACAATGATAATAGCCTTTGTTTTGTTTTACTCCAAAGAAATGAGCGACAATTTTTCTAAAAATATACTCATAAAACTAGGGGGGGAAATAAATAGTACAAACCAGAACCCCTGTTTATAACTCAGGCTGGCACTGAATAGGCAAGGAGAAAATTTAACAAGCGGGAACTGCACATTATGTTTAGCAAATCTGGGTGGAGGTCAGCAGCAAGAAAGAATATGCTCTTCAGTAATGGCTGTTACCGAGCGAGCCACAATAAATCACGCCGGTATAATCCAAGCTGATGTTTGGACCCCTGTGTATGGAGACAGTGTATCAAAACCGTCAGCTTTTCAAGCGCCTTTCAGTCACGCCAGCTGCTTCGCTCCGTGACTATATTCCTTGTGTTACAACATCTACCGCTCTTTATTTCACAACCGCTTGAATTTAGGGTCCTTACCGGAGCGAGGGGAAACAAAACGAACGATGATCCGAGCAGACAGTAAGCGCTCGAGAATCAAACCGCCCCTACTTAAAGGCCTTTTTTTAAGCCAAAGAGTTAATTTAACTTTAAGCCAGGCGTTAATTACTGCTAGGTGCCCGTTTTTTCTATCCGGTCGTTCAGTAAATTTCGTGACACAAGGTGTTATCCCGGGCAACAAAGGCAGCAGCTGAGGGAACAGATCTGCTAATTGTCTCACGAATCAGAGCCCCACTGTCTGTGGCATCCTGGCCCAAGGCAGATTTCAAGTAGCTGATACTCGGCACTAGCATTTCTCTATTTCTTCTTCTTTTTTTTTTTTTTTTTTTTTTTTTGGAGGAGGAGGGGTGGGGGTGAGGAGACTAAAGCAGAGTCAGACTACAGCCTGATTTCAGCCTGACACCTCAGCGAAATAACTCTGAAATAGCTCTGCGCAACAATCCCTACCGAGTACCCTGCCCATAACTATAAATCAACCGTGGAAATATGTAGGTGAGAAGAGAAAATGTTTTGAAAACGCTAAATATGTTTAGATTGCCCCGAAGTTTCTGATAAAATTCCTGCAGCAGAAAAGTCGTTTTAGCTTCAAAACATGCCAAAATTCCCCTGTTTGTTTAGATACGGGAATAAGCTAAAGCTATTGAAATAAAATATATGAAGATTTATACCAGGCTGCATAGGAAAGAGAAGGATTTAACAGAGTGAAACATCTGACAGCATTTCACTAGCAAAGAAAGAAAATGAAGCATATGTATTTAAGACCAGCTTTCTTTCACTCGATGCACATAAAACTCATATTGAATCAAGGGTGTGATTTGAACACTGTATTTAATAGCGAGGTCAAAAATTTCGTGAGACTTGGATTTTTAAGATTAAAAACTATATGTGTGTACTTCAGCCTATATTACACTTGGCTGGGTGGTTTGTTTTGTTTTCAGTGCAATTAATAATGGATTACTGATTGAAGATTACAAAATTTGTATTTAATCTGGAGCTCTTTCGGAGCTGCGGTGTAAAATGATGGCTTACTGCTAGAGACACTCAAACAGATAAAATTAAAGAAACTCAGTTATTGCTCTGGAATATTCTTCGTTCTCAAAACATTTTTATCAGTTTCCCAAGTGGCAGGCAGATCTGTGGTATCAAAGGTGACCCAGTTACATCTAACAACCCAGCAGTAAATGATTCAAGAGGAAGGGCATTGTACCCTTAAGTTAGTAATTTCAGTTATAGGTGCTTTATAGTCAGAATAAGATTAATGCAATCCTCTAAAACTGACTTCTCCATGTAAACTTGTTCAGCTGCCAGACACAGAGCTAGGCACAGATTTTTTTATATTTTTTTTTGACAATGCGATACTTTGAAAAAGACTGGATTTATGATGTAGCTGGAATTCTTTGCTTGTGATGAACGTAAAAGAGATCACTTGTTACAGAAACTTTTATAACCCATTCACCTTCATTTCACATGTTTATGAGGACTGCCTTCGCTTATGATATACAGCCTGTGGCCATAAAGCTCTAGGTTATACGGTTATTTCTGATACAAGATTGCTTCATCTTGGCTCCAAACTCCACGGAAGAGTGTCATAAATGGCTTGTTTGCCATGGGGACCTTGTTGTCACCCTCCAGTTTTTCTGCTGGTTGAGGGGAAGCTCTGTTCTGTAAAACACGCTCCCAAGGCACATTGCTTTTTGTGTGAGGATAAAATGGGTGATGATAAAAAGATCTTTTTACAGAGATAATGCTGTTGTACGTGTTACCCCTCGGATGCCCAGGAAAGTTTTTCTCAGCTGCAGTGCCACTGAAGGCAGGTGATTAAAGTGACTGATTTTTTCCAATGAGTTGAGAGTATCAGTGGCAGGATCAGAGCTGACTCTTCACCCACCACACAGGGGAGAGTGCACTGAACTGGCTGGAGAGGCGGCACAGGAGTGATGTGCCTTCTTGTCAGCTGGATGGAGCTATAGTGGAGATGTTTCCTCGCTGTCCTGCTGGAAGAAGAACTGATGCCTGGAGATCTGAACACAGGTCTCTGGGTCAGCAGCTCCCAAATATGAATTGTGCCTCCGCCGTGACTGCCTGGGGTTGCAAACTCTCAGTATTTCTTCACATCAGCTTTCCACTTTCTGAAATGAGGATAATTCTGTCCTAATTCTGGGATGTTGCTGATAGATATGACAAAAAAACCTCATACTATCCCCACCATGTGTTAAAGTACTTCTTATAAACCATAAAGACATAAACCATGTGCTCCTGCCTGCCTGTTCATGCACGTTTGCCTGTGCTTACCTCCAGCCTTCCTCGCGGCGGCTGGGCTTGTCCTGTGCCAACTGCCACACCACGACCACCACCCTGTGGCGCAGGAATGCGGAGGGTGAGCCCGTCTGCAACGCCTGCGGCCTCTACATGAAGCTCCATGGGGTAAGTGGCTGCTTTGCTGAGGGAGATTTCCTGCCAGCTCTGGTGCTCCTTTGGGGAAGGGGGGGGGTCCTCCCGCTGGCAGGTACCTGGGGTCTTTGGGGGCTGGCACTAAGCATCCTCAAGTCAGGGAGATGTTTCTGTTGATCCTGATGGTCTTGACTCGTGGCTTGGGCCATGGAGTTAAAAAACGGTGCATAAAACAACTGAAAATTGTGTGACATTAGAAAATACTTATACCACTTTAGCATGCTGTGCTTTTGACAAGTTACGTGTTTGCCAGTATAGTCTCCCAACAGATTTTTATAAAGTAACGACCTCTGGATGAACAGCAGAGGTCTTTTTGCCACTGGGATTTAAAACAGCTCTTCAGTGGGGAGAAAAACCCTAGACCTTTAATAAGACAGTTTTTCATAGCTATGCCAACAAAACTTTAAATGCAATTTCAGCCTTTGCTAGGCAATAAAAGATGAAAAAAAAAGCTCTATCCTGAATGTGATGGAGTACGTTTTAGGTGATCCCCCTGTGGATTGCGTTATGGTCAAGCAAAAAGTGTTCGAAGAGCAAGGGCGTTAGGAGTGATTGAGACATGGTCTAGGCCTCAAGAAAAAAGTAAATTATGTCACTGGTTTAAACATTATAATGATAGTAAGCATGTGCCTGAATTGTCTTTCCCCACACTGGTGTTGTCATTAAGTTAAAATATATTTTAAATCGATTTTTTCTGTATAATGATTATTATTGTGATGACACAGAACACAACAGTTATTTTTGAGCACATATAAATTTATCAGTATAAATATAAATTTGGAAAATATAAATCTGTATTAGGGGCAGAACTGCTTATAAGAAAAATTACTAAGTTGATTATGGCCTAAAGGTTCCATCCTAAGACATTTACTGGTGATGATCTGGTTTGTGCAGCTGGTCCACAGGATGAGGAGTATTTTTTCTTCCCGTATGCATTCTTCCTTTCCAGAATCAGGCACTGGAGATAATTCCTAACTGACTGAAATAAACAGTCAAGGACCAGATATACCCCATCCAGTTTAATTTCTTATGACCTATTCCCGAATGATGCTGATTTTCCCTAAGTGTATGCTGTTTTTCTGTCTAGCTTACATCAAGAAGTTTCCCTACTTTTTTTATTCAGCTAAAACTTCCCTTGAATCAAACCATTGCTTTGCCCAAATAAAATGCAAACTTTTTATAAAATCTGTACTGTGGCACAGGAAAAAGTGAGTTGCTATAGGGGCATTTTCAAAGACCACACTTGATCTTGTAGTGTATTTTGATTTTTTATATTAGGGTACATATACAACTCTATGATTGGTGTGGAAATTTAATTTTTTCAGGTTCCCCGACCTCTTGCTATGAAAAAAGAAGGAATTCAGACGAGGAAGCGAAAACCTAAGAACATAAATAAATCAAAGGCATGCTCTGGTAAATATAAAAAGATAAGAAAGTGTAATAGCAGTAGTTTATAGTTGTTTCGGGTTTTTTGGTTTATTTTCGGGGGTTTTGTTTCTTCTCTGGCTGGAAAATATTTCTTTTTAATACCAATTCTCAATCTTTCAGGTAACAGTACTACTGCAGTTCCTATGACTCCAACATCCACATCTTCTACTAACTCAGATGACTGTAGCAAAACTGCTTCTCCCAGCGCACAGACTGCGGCCTCCGGGGTAAGTGTCTGTATCTGTAAGCAGGCTGATCACTGTGCAGTGTTATCACAGCTTTTATCTTATCTAACAGAACAATAATCTAAATAAACTTTCCAGTTTTGTTAGCTGATACTGGAACAAGATTTTCAGAGGATATCACATATAGCTGTAAACAGAGCGACAAGTTGAAGTACTTTACAAACCTCTTCATTAAGATCTATATAATTGTTATGATTAAGTTAGCCACAGCTTAACCTCAGACATTTTGTTTCGAGATGTTTAGGTTCTTTAATTTCAAAGGTTTTCTTTAGGAGGGAAGACAATAACTCATGCCCAGCCGATCCTTTCAAGAAACAATTGTGCATGTACCCCTTTTTTTCTGATATGATTTGATAAGAATTTATAGTTCCAGGCACTGCTGCTGATGTCATGTTTTTCAAAAGCTATTTCATATATATATATGCATTTTTACTCATTATCCTGAATACCTGGTAAACCCCAGCAAAATATTGTCCTGCTGTATGAAGTGAATCATAAAAGCTTTTTTGTAAAACTAAAATGTGCGATTAAATCTCGATCCAGACCCAGTTGAAATCAGGCTGTAGTGTCCTGCTGATTGCAGTGTGCAGCGGTTCAGCCCTCTCCCCACAGACAGCTCCTCAGGGGTCAGATGCTCAGCATCTGACAGCACTGAGCTCCAGAGTGGCACCAGAGGACTGCTGATCATCCCCTGCTTTAGTTTTTATTTTATGTCTTGTACTCCAACCATCTCAAACTTCCTTTCTTACTCAGTTAGCATGTGGGATAAATACTACTGCTAAAGTTGTGAAGCTTCATGTAGATTATTTTCTAACCCCTTGGCTAGACTTATCTGTATCCACACTCACTTCTAGGCCTTCTGTATCCCTTAATCTGCCACACAATTTCTTTGAAAAGCTTTCCTAATGTGGCTTTCTGTAGCTCTTTATTAATAAAGTGAAGACATTGTTTATAATAACTCTTTTTCAATGTCTTGGCGTTCCCAACATCCAAATTACTTTCAATAGTTTAATTTCTGATGTGCAAAGTTTCATTGTACAAGGGGAAGAAAAAAACCATTTTTTAGTAAATGTGATTGTGGACTGACAGGGCCACCCAATTTCAGGGGCATTGGGTTTGGGGTTTGAATCCTATGAGACTAGGATATTACTAAAAGGGCTTGTCTTTGACATGAGAAAACCCTGTCAATCCAATAAAATAAACAGATCACATCAAAGAAAGAGAAAGACCAACTGAAAAGTGAACTGTTTCAGTTTCAGAATGAGTTTCAGACTTCCCCAGTGAACTACTACGCACTATTTTAGGCTCTCCCCTAATATTTGCAAAGGAAAAAATGTAGCCAAATTTTCCTTAAATTTTCCTTACATTACCTTAAGCAGTAGTAGTGACTCTGAGCAATATGCTGAGATTTATATAATGGGTAGAAATGGAAGCACAATCCCAGCTGAGACCAAGGCAGCGGTGTAGGCTGTGGCAGCACAGCCACGTGCTGCCTGGGGAAGGAGAGGCCATACAGATGAGATCCCATTTCCACTATGCTGTTGCCTTCTTGGCTGGCTAAAGCCTGACTTCCTTTCTGTAGTCCTTCTCCCTAGAAAAGTATATCAAACATGTTATTAATAATCTTTATGTTAGAATTGTAATAGTACCATTTTTAATATGATTCTGCTGTGTGGAGTTCTGCGGGTATAAAACCTGCACAGCTTTATCCTCACCATGATTTGATCAGATGTGCCTTGCATATGCAAAGCATTTGCAAATACCCTCCCTGTCGTGAAAAATTTCAGTGAAAGGAAGTAATGGAGAGAGGTTATGACACACTGAAGAGGGGAATTTGCAGCAGCAACCCCCAATATATGGGCATCCCCCCGACTCCCTCCCAAACTGTGTGAAGGGCTATTGATCTCCCACCCCTCCTCCCCAGCCCTGTAACTATGTAAATGAAGACATCGTAACTATGTAAATGACGTCTTCATGTTCTTCACTTGAGCTCCTGGCTTTGTCCAAGAATCTGTAATTCAAAGCACTGAGGACTGGGGAGACTGGAGGTTGAAATTAGAAGGAGGTGGCTGTTAAGACTGGATCCTGTTGCTCCAGACATAATTTGACTGCAAAGGATGCAAAATAATTTCTTAGGGACCTAAATCCCATGAAAGGGACTTAGCACTCATAAAGCCCATTGAAGTTGTCATGAGTAAGGGGGTGTCAGTATTTTAGAGTGAGGCAGCCTGTAATCTGATCACATGCTGAAGTAGAGATACTCTCCTAGACTTCTGTTTTCCTTGATTATTTTTATTTTTCCCTTTTGAGTTGATCCATTGATAGGTCAAAGGTTTGTAATTATTCCTAGAATAGGCAATGGCTTTGCACAAGGAGAATAAACTTCTCCAGGTTATGTCAGGAGGGAAAAAACCCTCAGATGGATAAATCCAGTCTCTGTAATCTTTGGTCACTTTAAAAAGACCAGCATTGATTTCCAGTTACTGGTCCTGGTGACATAGCCGAAACACGGGCACCTGCTGGAAGAGCAAACCTGGCTCATTCCCCACGTTACACAACAGGCATGGCAACTTGTTTTTGTTTTGCTCTGTTTTCACTTCTCTAGCCTTTATTCTGTGAAGAGGGGAAAAATGCCAGATTGACATTAGGCAGAGAAATCTGATGACATTTTAGAAACTGTTGTGTGAAATTCACAGCAATATTGTTGCTAAATGAAACAGAGAAAATGAATTCCTGTACTGGTACAAAAGCAATTTATTATGCCTTTTATGGGAGGCTGCCAAAAAAGTTTCCAGTTATGTAGAAATCTAATGGAAATGAAATTCAGCAGAATTCATTTGTGTCAGTAACATTCACTTTTTGCCCTACCTTTCTTTATCTCTGTTAAAGTAAAATAAAGAGGAGAGGGCAAAAAAAGAGAAGGGCAGCAATTACTCTTGGCAATGTCTTTGAGAATATCTATTTCATGGAGGGAATCTTACATGGTGCCAATTTTGAGACAAATTAGCAAGAACCTTAAATGTTGATTTTACGTTCTAACTGAAGTTTAAACATTTAAAAGATATGATTAATGAATTTTTGTGAGGGCAAAGTTGATTTCAAACATCCAAAAGTATAGAAGTGTTTGGATCGGAGACATTTTGTTGTCCCATTGTAAAGGGACTATTTGCCAAATTCACATCTGGATCTAGGATTTAAGCCCATTTCTGTTTTCCTAAGAAGTATAAGTACTGGGTGTCCTGTGTTACTAATATGGAAAGGGTCCAGCTGCATGATATATGAAGTTGCTTTACATCCCTGTAAAAAGAAGATTTGAAGGTTTTAGACAGTCTGCATCTGCATCTATACCTGGTCTCCCTTTGATGCTGCTGAAACTGTACAGAGAAATAAGTTACTAAACCAAGTACTAACCAAATAAGTTACTAAACAAAGGACATGGTCTGTAGTGCAAACCTGTCCATTTCCATGCAGGAGCTCCAACAACTGGGATAATCAGAAGGGCTTTATTCCCTTATTAGGATAAAAGGCAGTATGAAACCTGCTGTAAAATCTGCTTTTTATGGCAGGACATGGAGGCTCTTTGAGGCAGGCCTGATGTCAGGAAAGGCTCAGCAGCGTTGAGAAGTCTTTTCTGTGTCCTTTGCCTCCAGTTTGGAGCTTTCTCAGAAGGACCATAACCACACACCACAGAATAACACAGGAGGTAAAACAAGTGCTTACTTCCCTTGGAGGTTTACTCAACCTCCAAGACCAAAGAGGATTGGCTCTTTTGTGTTTTAGCGTGGGAAGTAAGAGAGCTGACTGAGATGGCCTTGGCAGGTGGTAAGCTAGGAGGAAAACGCAGGTTTAACTGTCCCCAAAATGCCGAACAGATGGGGCTGGATTATCTGGACAGCTTCTCCTGCATTTGCTTTCTTTTGTTTTCAGAAGAAGATTCGTGATCTGGTTAGAGATGGTATTGTTAGCTTCTGTTCAGCCAGCAAGTGGGTAGGACGTTCATGCAGGGGAATCAGGCTCCATACAGTATGTCCCAGAGTCTGGATGAACCAGAGACTCAATCTCTTAAAACAATGTACTAGCCACCTGGATATTGGAAAGTTGAATGTCCTCTTCAGATTATCTGATGATAAGATTTCAGTTGTTATAGAATAATTTTGTAGCCATTGAGACAGTTGCCACGAGAAAGGCTCATCAGCATGGTTGGTAGGACTTTCATCTGGAAAATGGGAACACGGTGCTTCAGTCCTGGTATGAATAAATATTTATCTAAACCAGGTGGAATAAGATCAAGAGGAGGTATGAGGAACATGGCAGCCATACCAAATAGTGTGGTAGACAGGGCACTGTGGGAGATCTGACACTCTAATTTAAATCTTTCTTGGTGTCCTACCTCTGCTGCATTAGTCCTCACTCCTGGACAAAATGGGAAGCTACTTTATTCCCCCCCAGTTTCATACATGGAGTCATTAATTTTCTTTGCTCTGTGTACTTGTATCCAAAAGAGAGCATTTCATTTTTGTATGAAACAGAAGGAAGCAATCCATCTTTTTTGTTTCAGTAGGGAAAACCAAGGAAAAAGTATTTTTGCTTCTACCCCAAAATTCTATATGCATATGGACACATACCTTTTGCTTGGTTTTGTTTTATTGCCAAAGCAATAAAGTCAGTTACTCATACAGCCCTTGACAGCAGTGGGGTCATCAGTTTTCCAAGCCATGCTGGAAGTTGCCTCCCTTAGGAAATTAATGAAGTATTAACCACAGATTTATGTTGCTATAATACAAAGGAGAGATTAGAAGATATGTAAACTTACAGGTCTGCCATATAAACAAAAGGATCAATTGGACTAATGAGAAATGACAATTTTGTGTACTAAGAGGGTCGTTATATGAGAAAAAAAAGCCATCATTTTGCAGTGCTGAGACTTGCTCTTCAGAAAGCGGGGAGTGACAGTATTGGGAAAATGTGCTCCTGATGAGGATGGCAGTTATTGCAGGGAGACTGAGGCTGGAAAATTAGGAACTCCAGTGTTTGGCACAGCACCTTATATGCGAAAGCAGTCTTTGCAAATGTGTTTTGGCTGACTATGGTTATCATTTAAGTGTAGCAAAACTAAACTAGGCTAATTGAGGAGGAAGAGAGTCTCAGCTGAGGCTCTGCTTATTACAGACTTAGTGTAATGTCCAAAATTCATGGAGCTTTTTGAACCTGTGAAATGGATGGAGCAAAGGTCTATCTGGTAGCACAAAGGTCTGGATCAAGGCCCTTCACCACCCCCTCCAGCTGTCCTTGCCCAGAGCATTTCCCTCTTGCCTGCGGAGGCGTGGGAGAAGGCCAAGGGGAAAAGAGTCCCTCTTCTCTCCCTACTTTCTGTGGTGGGCAGGTGGTGCAGAAAGGAGCGACTCTTTCAGGAAGAAAGCAGGACTCTTTCAGCCAGAGCTGCTGATATTGACCACCACAGGCTGAACAGCCTGGTTTTGATCTGGAGCAGCTTCAGTAGGGATAAATTTGGCTCCGAGGTGCTGACAGCAGGTTTGGGTACGATCTAGGTGTCTGAATCGCTCTGTGGCTCTAGTGGAAGTCTCCCTGTGCACATGGGGGGCAGGTCCTCTGATCTGGACAACCTACCGGGGGAATGACTCCTGACCAGCTCCTGCTGGTTGGGTAAAAAGAACCTTTGCAGATACAAACACAACCTTCCAGTTTGTCTGAGAGGCAGTGTCTTCCCAATGGGCTTCATTCTTTTTTTCCTCAGGAAACTGACCGTCAATTGATTACCTATTCTATTACCGGATTTCAACAATGAAAATAAATGCATTACCTTTTTACTGATAGAGCCAGTTGTTGTGAATTAGATCTTGTTGACTTCAGCAGCATTGTTCAGTTTATTTATTCTAGGTGACAAATGTCTTCTAATAACTAAGTGCAACTTCTGTCATCTTCCATCCCTTAAAGCTGGAGAAGTAAAACCAGAGGTAGGAAGGCACAGAAACAGAGCTGCGATTCAGTCACGTCCCTTTTCATGAGCTAAAGTTTGTTTTCCATGTCTCACTCTGGGAGCTGCCCGAGTTGCCCGGATTTGTCATGACATTACCGGGGTGGGGTTTCCAGGCCTGGCAGCCCTGCCCAGGTCCTGCCCATTCTGGCTCAACAGAGCCGGGATCCAGCCTTGGTTGGGCAGGGATGGGCAGTCTTCAAACAGGACGTGCCTTCATGTCCTCCCTTCTGGGGTGCCCAAGGGAGGGGTACCTGATAATCCCATGTGGAAACTGTGGGTCCATGCATGCCACCTTTGTAGGGCTGAATCAGGAAAAGAGTGAATTACACTTTGCAAGCCTGGAAAAAAACAGGTACTGATAAGGTATTTGCCTACCGGAACAACAGTGGCAAATATGGGCAAACGAGAACCTTTCAAAGCAGCTCTTAAGTATTTTTAGCTCAAGTTGAGCAAACACTGCTCAACACTAATTTAAATCCTTCTTCCAAGGTGGGGAGATGACTCTGAAGCTGTTAAAAATTATGTATTTTGTGCTGATGGAAGTCCATTTGTTGTATTAGAAATAAAAAAAAAAAAAGGCTTTGGAAAGCTAGGCTGATGCAAGACCAAAACCAGATGAAAAGGATGACATGGAACCTGCCTCATTGAATTCTCCATGCACAGTCACAGGGAAAGAGGATACAGAGATTCATCATCATTGGTTGGCAATTGTATGTTTGAGAGAGCGATAAAACATATTTCTTAGAGCTGTTTGGCTGGTTTTGGGGGACAGGCAGTTTTTCCTTCCTTCTCTGCGTTTCTGGGTAGTGACTAATGGAGTGGGATCGGGGTTGATGACTGGGTGGAAGAGTAGTGGCTGTCAGTCATTTTAATGAAAGCTAAAGAAAATATTGCAGTCTGTGTTATTTCAGAAAAAAATGACTGCTAACAGTGAGAATCTCTTTCAGGAGATGAGGTTTTCCTTGGGTTAAGCATGGCAAAAAGAACCCTGCACTGCAGCATTTGGAAATTACCTTTGAATAAATGAAGCCTTGCTTTTCCTGTGTCAGGACTGCTAGCTTGGCACAGGTCCAGGAGAGCCAAGAGCTCTACTCTTGTAAAATGATTAAATATGTATACTTTTCACTTAAACAGCAGGCAGGAAGCTTCTGCAGTCACAGTTTAGGATAGCCTTTTTTTTTTTTTTAAGGAATTTCATCCGAAGGCTATCCATTAACAAGTAAATTAAGGTTTTAAAGTTGACATATCCAAGGGTTAATTTTGCATGAAGTCAGCTCTTAAACATTTCCTTTATCAGGTGAAAATGTTGCCCCTTCTCTGTCTGGCACAGTGAATTTTTCCTCTTTAGTAGATCTGCTCAGGCTCATGGAAAAAATGATTGTTCCTTTGTCTTTGTAACTCTCCATTTCTCTGTTAAAATAAATGGACTGGTTCCAGTGCAGTTCAGAGGTTCATTTTCGTGCCTACCAGGGCTCCCCTGCACGTTATCTTGTATAGGCAGCGGAACAAAAAGTCTCCTGCTTCAAAGGCAGGAGTGTTTCTCCGCCGGAGATTAAAGAGCATCTCCTTTAGTGTCCAGGGATGAAGTGGTCCTGGCTAGCATTTTGAAGGGTGAGGAATGATTTTAGGCATTTCAGGGTCTGAGGGACCCAAAGAAGGCTGATTTCCAGGAGGTGTTCTATATCTACTGCTGGAGAATTGGGGTGTATCAGGCTTCTCCAATTGTGGAAGAAAAACTACAGGTGCCACCACTCCCAGATCACATTTTTGGTGTTGTCACTTATGTCTCTTCAGTAGGGGGCAGCGGGACACACACACACAGGCTTCTTCACCACGGTCTGATTTCCAGGTTTTTGTGCGCATCACGTGCTTTCTTTTCCACCTCTCCAAACACAGATATCTCTCCCATCAACAGGGTTCGGTGACTGGGCTGATGCTGAGACATGGGTTTTTTCAGGATTTGGAGGCACAGGGGCAAGCAGAGGGCAAACACTGTTTTTCTGCAGAAATCCTGGGATAATGACTGTACCCTGGGCCTGCTGTGGTCTCACTTGCACCCAGTGTGTGCAAAGCTCACCTGCTCAATGCCTCTCTCTTTGTTCTCTCCCTCCCTCCAGGCGAGCTCGTCAGTGATGTCTGGCCCGGGAGAGAGCACCAGTCCAGAAAGCAGCAACCTTAAGTATTCAGGTCAAGATGGGCTGTACACAGGAGTCAGCCTGACCTCCACGGCTGAAGTGACAGCATCTGTGAGACAGGATCCCTGGTGTGCCCTGGCTCTGGCATGACCCGATGTGAGGGAAGCTGGATCCTGGTGCTGCACGGCAGCCCCCAGATGTCCACACACAGTTTCTCCTGTGGAGCGGTTGCAGCAGAAGCAAGAGTGCTGGCAAAGACCATTCCTCTGAAATAGTTTTTGAGCCTTGGTGGCAGAGGTGTTTTTCAACCTCTGAAAGAGGCTCTGCCAAAGCATCCAGTTCCTCATCTATGCAAGAAAAATATAGGGAAAGCAAATGACCACCGGGGGATAGCTAATGCAGCCTTACAATCTCAAAAAAACCCTCAAAACCCCCAAAACAAAAAAAAAAAAAAAAAAAAAAAAAAAAGAAAAAGAAAAAAAAACATATAGACCTAGACCTATTGACGGGTTCCAGAAATACATCTTCAACTTACCCAGCAGCGCTGCCTTTCTGATTGCGTAGTTGTTTTCACTCTCTCATCGCCTTTTCCCCTAAGAATTTGGTGGAAGCCGTCATTGTCGGGGAGGAAGTAGCAAAGACTTTAATTACCAGAGATAGTGAGATACTTTTTAATGAGTGACAGAAGTGCGTGTGGCTTGAGTCGGCACAGACTTCTTGCACTGAACATTTGATATCTTCGCCCTGTCAGACCTCTTCCCTCCTTTGCCCTCCATCTTCAGTGTGCCTTGCTCTGCTCCTCAGAGCCCAGCTATGCCCCTGGAAGAAATCACAATGTTTGGTACAAGTCCCACAAGGTCCAGCTGGTTAAGGAGATTTTGGGGTTGGTTTTTTCCTGGTTTAAGATATTTACTCACTTTGCAAGACTACGATATAACTTTTAAAGTACACTGTGACTGAGATTTATGAAAGTTCATATTTTCTGGCTGAACTGTATAGAGTCAGTCAAAATTTGTAAACAGGGTAGCAATCAGATATTTTTCTTCCATATATACAATAATTTTTTTAAAGAAGTGCAATTTGCGTTGCAGCAATCAGTGTTAAATCATTTGCATAAGATTTAACAACGGTTTTTATATGAATGAATGTAAACATTTTAACTTAATGGTACGTAAGTAATTTAAAAGAAAAACTTAACTAGGCATCCTTAGGCTTTTTAGCTCAACAAAAATGCATCCACTTTCTGTATTTCCAGTTGTTAAAGCAAGAGTTTCAAAGAACAAGCCTTCTCTCAGGAAAATTGCCCTAGCCATTTGCTCAAAAGTGTTGTACAAAAATGCAAATGCATCCCCAAGGCTTTTTTTGCCATTGAGTAACTGTGTGCTGGAAAGAAACAAATTGCAATGAACCTTTACTACCTAACTGATATATTTGTAAATACTACAAATCTTGAAGGCATCTTGAAAATGTAAGATGCAATCTGTATAGTGTGACTGACATATAGTTAGGTTGGTTTCCATTGGTTTTTAAGTGGGATGTCATTTGGAAAGTTGTTTCATCAGAGCTTTAAAAATAAAAGGGTATCATTTTGAGATTTTTTTTCCTGTACAGTGTGCCTTCTCCTTTGTCTCAGACACAATTGTTACGCTACATTAAAAGCTATGGAAATGTACCTGATACAGGTGGCATGTCTGATGGCTCCCCAGAGGTCTCCAGCTGAAGTGCCTGCTCTGTCTATCTAAGTCTGCCTTGTGTGTGGCTTTTCTGCAGCTTCCCTCAATATACCCTCTGATGATATGTAAAACTAGGGCCTTCACCTATGAATATAAGCTTGACATGGGCATATGTGAGATTTTTCTGACGTCTGGGCAACTGAACCCATGCCCTGTGAGGACTGTCATGGTTTTTCTTGGCCTTCACACCGTAGCTAAAGGGTCTACCCAGTGATGAGTGGGCAAATACCAGAATGTCACCCACTGTAGACACAGCTGCTGAGTGGCAGAGCATTTGTGTGCCTGCTGGCATCCTCCAGTGACCAAAGGTGAAGGGCACCAAAAACTGATGGCACTGCTGCTGAAAAGAGAAGACAGTGAATTTTAGATACTGAGGGAAGTGGAAAACCTTCTGCTGGCTCTGAGAACTGGTCCTCTTTCTTCATTGCTCAGCTGACTGGAGCAAGACTTACTGCCATGTATGACATTTCCAGCTGTGTCACCAGTACTGTTGGACTTGGAAGCCAGGATGCCCAACCTCCATACCCAGTGACCTGCAGAGTGGCTGCAATGCATCTTTTTGCCTCTCTGTGCCAGATCTTTTTTTAGGTGAATTGTGGTAGCTCCTTGGCCTGCAGTGAAGCTGTGCTGACTTGCACCAGCCAAGAATCTTCCCCTTGGTTTTCAAACCTCGCCATTGAGGCTACCTCCTTACCCCGGGGGTATAGTGAGGACCATGGAATGAATGATGCTGTACAGCCGCAGCAGGAAAACAGCAAAAAGGAGTCAGGCCAAGCCTTACCTAGGGTTTAAGTTGATGTGGCCAGCCAGGAGTGGGGATCACTCACCCTTCCTGGCGTGACCTTCGTGCCACACTTGGTACTGGGCTACCTCACATCCTTGCTGCCTGTGGGTTGATATGGCCAGGTACCCCAGCCCTGCTAGCCCGGGGGCCTTGGATCTTGTGGTTTACAAAAATAAATACCTATCTAAGTGCAAGGTGAGCCATGAAGAGAAACACTGGGTTTAGAAAGCAACAGATGTGGAGAAGAGGGTGAATATCCTTCGTTTTGAAGCGTTTATTGACTAAAATGCCCTTACTTGTGATTTTCCAGTAAGCTGTTGGTAAGTGGTGTTGCAGAGTGTTCCGCCTTAGCTAGGGTCGGCATCCTTTTTTATTTCCCTTTTTCTTACCAGGGTGAAATTTGGTGTGCCAATTCTGAAGAGCCTAGCACATAACTCATACTTGCTGGGTATGTCAGAACTGCGTTTCTTGGAGTTATCATAAAACAGGAGGTTTAGAGCAGCGTATTCCAGTTTTGTGCTGCTGGTTGCTGATGCTCTTGCTGGCTGCCTGTGGAAGGCCACATTGCTTTGAAACCCTGTGGCACAGTTTAAGAGCACTCCTAGGAGGCCCTGCTCCCTTCTCAGCACCACCTTGACCCAGGGTCTATCTTAGGGTGGTTCCTACAGTCTTGCGGGGAACATATGAACCTTCCTCTTGGATCTGACGATGAAAATGCTCTTTTAGGGGGAAAAAACCCATAGAAAACCCCCAATATTTCATAGGGAAGGTATTTCCAATTTTTTTTTCATCAACAAATCAAGAATGGAATACTTGGACCAGAAGCAGTGCTATCAGGTTTTCAACCCTCTGTAAGAGTAAAGGCAGATGCAGTACCACGTTGCCTTACTGTATAGGTGCTGAGGAGCTCAAAGCCAGGTGCCTTGTTATGATTTTACATAGAAGAAGATTGTAAGAAGAGTACATCCCTACTTACCAAAACTCCTCTCCAAGTGTACTGATTGCTGGAGCTGCTATTCCTAGATGAAATAAAAGTTTCTTTTTTTTTTCTTTTTCTTTTTTTGCATTTTAATCTTGCTGAGCTGGCATAGTTCTCTGAGTGTGTGAGCTGGACTTTGCTGTGGCTCATACATCATCAGTATCACTGCTTTCCTCTCTCATCCCCATTTCTCTTCAGTGACAGCCCTGGGGTGGGCTGAGAAAGAACAAAGAAAGAGTTTGACTGTGAGTTTTGGTTACTAGTGAGGCTGAACAAGGCAGATTGACCCCAGAGCATCTCTTTAGTACTGTCATGAAGCTTCAGAATTGACATTTTTGGGGGAAAAGAAGGCATATGGCTACTTGTCACTTTAGTACCTTTTCTCTGAAAACAGTAAAAATTAAATAGCCAGTGTCCCAAAGCATCTGCTTCAGGGTCCCCCACCAAACAATACTCGAAGGCTCAAATTTGCTTGGGTGGCCCCCCAAGATCAGACTGTTCCTGGCCACGTGCGTTACTCTGGCATCCAATATTCCCTAGGTCCTAGATTCTGTTTTAGTAGTCTTACTGACACCCTCACTCATAATTTTTTTTTTCCTGTTCAAATTGCTTGAAATAAGTTGAAATCCGTACTGTGGTTCACAGTGGTATTTTTCAGCATGGCATTTAGGGTGTATACTGCTGTGGTTTGAGTGCTGTAGAGGTACTTGAGGGTGCAACAGTTGCTGGGTTTTGGTTGGTAAAGCAAAGAGACGCAGCCTTGGATGCTGCTCAAAGGGAGTAATAGGTGCCTGTCTGTTTCTAGAACTGCAGGTGGACTTTGTTTCATGTGAATGATCAGCGGGCAAGGACCTGTGTGTGAAGTAAGGAACCAAAGTAGCTGATTTGCTGTATAGAACTTGGGTAATATAGTATCTGTTCCTGCACAAAAATAACGTAACTTCTGCTTCTGTCTAAGAGAAGAAGATATTTAAGAGTAACACCCTGCCCCTGCTATTGTGAGCCTTAGTTGAGCATAGGCTGCAGAAACCCAAAATGTTCTTCAACTCTTCTGTGTGCTCACAGCTCCAGATCTTCCTTTATCCAGCTGTCATGAACTTCATTCCTCACAGATCCTCCAGTTCCTAAATCTGTATACACTGGACATTCCAGGGTTGTGTCAAACACACTGAATTCAGTATTAAAATATAGGGCAAGGGTTATTGCAGTGGGCCAGCGAGAAGGAAACTGAGGGCTTGAGGAGCAGTTTCATGTGCCTTCTGCTCCACATGTTGCAAAAGGCTTGAGATCTTCACTGTGTATTTGTAATGTGTTTTGGAAACACTTCTTAATCTTTCCTTAAAGAGATCTGATGGAAGTTGGTATCATATGTAGGAAAGGGGAGTAGAATTTCACAGAATCACAGAATCATTTAGATTGGCAAAGACTTTCAAGATCATCAAGTCCAACCTTTGACCTATAAATTTAGGTGCCTGGGTGGATACGCAGTCAAACAAGAGTTGTCAAAGCAATGTTGTAACCAAAAGCGCTTATGTACCCCTTGAACAAAGAATCAGGAAAACAGTGAGTTGGAGTAAGGAGGTAATTTTACTTTGGAATGCTACATCCAGACCTGGCATCCACATTTGAAAAGAGTGTTTAAAAATTGGCAAAGGTAGGGAAAAGAACCACTGAAATGATTGATGAACTGGGGGAAATATCTAGTCTTGATAAATTTAAAGACCACGGTCTGCTTAGAATACCTGAAAGAAGACTAAAATGTGACTGGTGTAGTAAGTCCCTTCATGGAGAGAAAATGATAGGTGCTAGGAGGCCTTTGACCTTGTAGAGAAAGACATGACAAGATCTAGTGGCCAGAAGGTGAAGCTGGATTAATTAAAATGATCATTTAGCTTCAGCTGAAACAGCGAATGTAATTAGTGATGGGAGCAAGGGAGGAAGACGAGTGCTCAATCTCTTGTTGCCATTGCAACAAAGCTGGCTGGAAGACCAGCTTTAGCTGACCAAAAGTGACTGGGTTCAGGACTGAGCGGGTTACATCTGCTGCATCATGATTTATAGGCTGTATTAGTTTCCATTTTGTCTGAAACCGTATAACTTTTTGGGATGAGACCCAATGCTGAGATCTTGAATTTTTGTTGTTATTAAAAAAACTATGGCACTCTTCCTGAGAGCAGTGGTAAACACTGTGGTGTTTTGACCCAGTTTCAGCATAAGTAATTATTTTTTTGCTTACCTAAAATGTCCTACTTCCTCTCCAAAACTGTCCCACATCTTTATTGTTTCCTGTTAATTACAACCTGAGTTCTATAGAAGAAAAGGCCACGTTTCAAAGTTGAACAAACGAGACATGAAATTCTGTCCCGTCTTATGGCATAGCACGCAGACAGGGGCTGCTAAACAGCCCCTGCTCTTGGAGAAGCAGGAAGGAAACCTTTTCTGAAGACTGGTCTGCAGGTCTTCAGTCTGTGACCTTTCGATGCTGTGAAGACCACAGCCTGAAGAAGGAACAGAGGCATGTGGGTTGTCTTATGAATGTAGCAATTAAAAAAAAAAACCAGCATGATGGGAGGTTTCTGTTAATGCACTGAACCCCACTTGGGATCCAAATTCTACTTGTTCCTCTCATGGGAATAAATAACACTTAAAATAATGCTTGCTTTTTGTGCCTTGCTTGCAGAGGACCCGGTCTTGTGGCATGAGAGAGTGGGGATGAGCTTTGTCTGTTTGGCTGGTCATTCATCTGATCCCTTTGCAGTAGAGAGGAGCCCCAAACCAGCCAGGAAGATCCTGGTGAGTGCTCCCACTCTGAAGGGGTTTTGCACAAGCTTGGCAGACATGCCTCCCAGGAGTGGCCTTGCTGACAGGAGAGGGTGTGAGTGTTTGGCCAGGGGCCTGTAGAGGGGAGAGGGAAGGAGGCCTGATGGAGGGGAGGTGTGCTGTGCCTCAACTGCAGCATCATTAGGAGCTGCTCATGGGCAGGCTCTGCTCACTGTAATTCAAGGTACCTGAGGACCAAGAAGCTGAAACTGGCCTTTTCTGAGCCTGGAAGGACCTCTGGCAAGCTGGGGATCCCCATCTTGTATGTGTGTGTGTGTGTGCGTGCACATGTGTATGTGTGTGTGTGTGCATGTGCCTATGTTTTCTTAAAATTAGATTTTTTACTCTCTGGGTTTTTTCTACCATAATCCACAATTGCCTGTGATTGTTCCATTTTACCTGAAACAAAGTTTATTAAAAATAGTGCTGGGATGATGGGCCACCTCTAGATCAGTGACAGAGATGAAAAGTAGCACCTATGAGGTCTGGGCAGACCCACCTGTCCCAACACTCTGTACACCCGGCCTGGGGCACCTCTTTGACTTTTCATGAGTTGGACAAGAAATAAGGCATACCCTCTGTTCTTCATAGAGTTAATGAAGTATGTCACAAGATTCATTTAAGTTTATTTTATTTTAAACTGTTAGGAACTTTTCAGCCTGAAACAGTCTCCCAAAGACAGCAACACTCCCTTCTTTATAAGAAGATGATGTCCTATAGTTTCCAATAACTTTGACATGTCTTTTTTTTTTTTTTTTCAGATCAAGGTGAGAGCCTGGGTACTGGAAAATAGCATTACAATTTTAACAAAAGGGAGAAAAAATTGCTCAAAAGTCTGACCAATAAAATGTTTATTCTTATTGCAACCACCAAGTGATACCTTCAAGGTATCACTCAGAATAGGCATGAAACAATTTTACTCTGTAAACTTCAGGTACTCTCAGAAAATTAAAAAGGTGACTTCTCAGAAAGCATTGTTAGGATTAAATGTGTTTAAGGCAGAAGGAGGCAAAGGATGTCTTTAGAGCTCCCACTTTGTTACCCAGTCTTATGCTTCGCTCTGAGTAGTGATAAAACTCCTGGGACTAAATGAAAGCTTTGTATAAGCAGGAAATTCAGGAAAAACAGCTTGTTTTTCTAAGCCTCCATGATCAGTTTTCAGCAAAGGTAAGAGACTTTAAGCATAGATTCCAGCAGATTTGGGTTTTGTAAACAAGATACTGATGTCTTACCATTTCTCTGTGTCCAAGCTCACCAGGGAAGACATGGACAGGCACTGACAGCTGTGTTCTGTACTTCTTCTCCATTGTAAATCAGTCCTGATCCCACTGCAGGATTAGTTTTTGGCGTGCATTTTTCCCTTATGCAGGTAGCTGGGGATGTGAGCTGGAGCGCTTGCATCAGGATTGGGCAACAGGGTCAAATCTGCCACTTTGCAAAACCCTTTCTTATCTAAAGCAAAGGATTAGAACTTCTGAAATGAACCACATATAAGAAAACTCGGGGGAAAACTGAAAGAAACTCCTATTTCCCACCTGTTGTATACTGAGGCACTATGGTGTTCGTGTACACTCTGCTTTTCCTGTTCTGGGCAACCTGAAAGGTGGTCAGGATGCTTTAGTCATGAGTCAATGTACTCCATTGATGGGGAAACCTATGGGAGTGAAATGTTAACTCTGAGGTTTCAGCCGTACACAGCTGTGATAAATCTTAGCCTAGCCTCTCTATTCTTATAGACTTACACTGACATCTTCCATATCCCTCCCAGCCCGAGGCCTGCTCTTGCTTCCCTTGCAGTCAGGAGTGGAACTCTGCACAGCTCAGTGGTATAGGTGAGCTCCAATTTATAAGGAAACTTCAAAAGAGACAAGCCCAGCCCTACATTATGGCCAACTAAAGCAGGCAAGCACATGGGAAGCAGCAAGTAGCCTGGTTTGAGGTGAAACCTGTGTTAGCAACAAAGGCAAGTTTGACACCTTTGTAATTAATGAGGCAGCTACTTAGATCAAG